TTAAGTCTGAAAAGGCTAGAAATAGTGTCGCCAAATAATTAGGTTCTCGTTCTCGGAACATCATCTTTTGAACTTTATTCAACGTCGTGCCTGTTTTGGGGAAGCATATCCTTAGGTTAATAATGTGTTCCTTCTTACATTTCCTTCGTTTTTTTGTTAGCGTTCTTGCTGAGGCCAACATACAACTAATATTTGTGTGGGTGCGTTTTCGAAATACGAGACTAAACTTACTTCGCAAATGTTTGGTTTATGCGTTTACCGTGTTTCCTTTTTACGTTCGTGCTCCTTTTTTCGCTATGTCAACGTATTCAGGAGTAACATGGGAACATCGTCGCGACGTTCTAAGAAAAGACGTGGCGATGATGAGGATTCCGACGATGGTCGGCGAAATAGGGATCGAAATCATTCCAGTTCCAGATCAAGGTCCCCTTCACCGAAGCCTAAAAAGTATGGTTTGTTATAGAGCGTTGTGAATTTTGTGAAAGAAGCAGTACATTAACAGCCATATGAAGGAGCGGGGCACTTTATTTTGAGATCTTTCTTCAGTCTGTCTGGAGAGTAGTCATTATTATTTTTACCAAATTGACTTTTTCGCAGTGTTATACTTGCAATAGGCCTTATATAGTCTAATTGCTGCGGACGGTTGGGCGTGCCAAGCAGTATGAGTGTGTCACGCCGTTAAGCAGCGTTAAGACTTCGCCACGGTTGCGATTCGATTGCGCGTTGGGCGCGATCGATGCGCATGTTTCGACTACATCGATCGCGTCGAACGCGCGACCGAAGCGCTACCGTCGCGAAGTCTGAACGCTGCCTTAGAGCCGTTATCTGCTTTTGTTGAAGCATGCGACCAAAGTGGTAGAGAACGAGTAATACGAACGATATGCTCGCTTCAACAACTGGTGGAGAACGGGTTTGGCACAGATGCGTCTCATCGCGTCTGATGCGCCCCGCCTCCGCAACTAACTAGACTATATTTTTTCGATGAAAACCCCTTTTCAACATCAGTTTTTGTTTTTTCAGATCGCGCAGACGCGAAAAAGAAAAGGAATCCAGTCCACCTCCGAAAGAAGAATTGTGAGTGATCATTTTATTTCTCATTTTATTACTGTGCACCTTGAAATCATTACACTTAAGTGCGGAGTCGCTGTCTATTGAAGAGACTAACAAGCTTCGTGCGAAATTGGGATTAGCTCCACTGGAGATCAATGATGGCCCCAAGGTGCGTCTATCATTTTACAGCAGAAATAGTAGCTGTCTTTTGTAGCAATGATTACCCTGGGAGAATATCGGCAGGTAGCTGAGCCGTCCCCGAAATTGAGCTTCAATAAACAAGAAATAGTTTGAAGGTGTTCTTTATTGGTGGAAAACCGCTCCGATTCCATGACCAACTGGTCCCTACTCATTTTTTCTGTATAAGGAGCGCTCTATCATTGATAGCACGGAACCAAAGTTCCAATAGTTCTCTTTGCTAAAGCTGAGAACAAGGCTTTTCGATAACTGGATCGCCCAGTGCGCTTTAATGCATTTCAGTTGGTTTTCTCCTTAGGCGTACCAATGTTTTCGAACAGTGCGCCAGCGTGCTATCGCTGGCTTCGTGTGAGTTCACTCCTGAAGCCCTAATCAGTACAACCCCTGTTATCCTTCACCCTCCAACTAAAAAGCGCACTCGTTCCAGTCACTGACTGATAGCTTGGTTTTGGATAAAGCCGTGTTAGTCAGCTACTGTTTATTGCTATTTCGACAAGACTGTTATAGTCTCAGACACAGTCCTCACTCACTACTTATCCCTTTACTTGGTGTTGTGCATTTTAGTCACGAGAAGCTGAAGATGGTACAACAGTTCATGTTGAAGATGGCTTCGAGTTTCGGCATAAAAAGCCAGAAAACTGGAGTGATAAGAAGAAGGAACAGGAGATGAAAGAAAAGCTTGAAGTTTGTTTCTGGTCACTCATTTATTGTGAAAAAGCAAAACACACTTACATTTCCAAACTCGTCCACATCGTCGAAACCTTTTTGTAGCTCTTTGCGCTTTTTGAGCTCCCTATTTCTGGCATATTTTTCATTATCGATCAAGTTAGGATTGACAAGAACCTCCTCACCATCATCAAGAACACCTGAAACGCTCAGAATCTATCCGCCGAATGCTTGCAAAACGGTGGTTTAATCCCAAACAAGATGGTATGAAATATGAAATGCAGAAGTGTGAGCGTGAAAAGGTAATAGTCTGAAAACAAACTTTTGTCGTCGAGGACGAGAATTTGATCTGACACTCCAGTGAATGCCTCTTTCGAGTGACCAACCACCAGACCAGCAGTGTATGGATTTTTTTCTCCCTCAAACGAAGTGCTTATCCAACCGCCATATTATTAACAGGCAATGAGGGCATACGAAATTACAACAGTAATAAGAACCTTGGTTTGCTTCCTCTCCTTTTTCTTGGCTTGTTTCGCTTTTTCTTCAGCAATAATGCTGTTTACACCGAATTCTTCATCCATAGCGTCAAGCATTTTAGCCTGTAATCAAAATAAAGTGTCGAGATGTATAATAATTTGAAAGCACTCACTCTTTCTTCAGCGCGCTTCTTTTCTTCTTCTTGTTTTCTCATTTTAGCTACCCAGTCAGCGGCGTCTTCTTCAGAATCGGAGTCCGCTATACCTTTAGCAGTTAACACTCGCTCGTAAACTTGACGCTTCTTTTTTGCTATCTGAATTATTCGAAATTCAACTGATCTACCTCACAACATAGAAAACAAAAATTCA